TAATCTGGGCCCCGTCTAATAAAAAGTCACGATTGATTCGATTCAATCGCAATTCCCATTTCTTAAGTACACAGTTGCGATCTATTTCAAGTTGCGACTGATTTGAATCAATCGCAACTTTATAATTATAATACAGGGCCTTGAACTTACACAAAGCCAGCTTTCTCTTGTTTTCCCCCTCGATTCATCTGCAGCATCTGTTGGTTCAGATCCCTTAGCTTAACATACCCCGACTGAGTATTCGCCATTCTCTCTCTGCATGGGCGGGAAAGATTTGAACAATATTAAAATGCAGTCAATGCCTTTTGTCACACTACTCGCACTTTCGGTGTGTATTTAATTACAACAAATTCCTGCACACAGAGGATATCATAGGACAATTACAATAATTACAACACTACGTATTTCTAATATTTATGTACACTGCATCAGAAGAAAATGTGTATATTAAATATCACATTCATGGAAATAAAGATGTATACTAAAATAGAAACCAATTAATGAAATCAAATACCTAAGGGACGATAAAGGGCTTGGCATGTGTCTATCATGTTCATCGACCTCCTAAAAAGAAAGAGAAAAACAAATAAACAAAAAGTAAAACAAAAAACGGACGGAAATACATGTAGTAAACATTGTTATTTATGACGTAATTATAAGGGAAATTCTGTCTTAAAATAAAACTGTTCTAATCAGAAAAAACAGAGAGATCAGAAAAGCAGAATGACGAAATTTTGAACGAAATCGGACAAAAAAAGTTATGATTCGTTGACAGTTGTAATCCCTATACGTATGGGAAATTCAAATCGGCTGTATCGGTAATGTCGATGAGATGTATAGTCGAGGCCAACTTTCCTTTTATTTCAAAAAATGTATACCTCAGTATAGGGTCTTTTCTCTCATGTATAGGACCCATAAAGGTATTCTGTCCATAATCTATTTTGAGTAGTGCCGAAAGCGAGATGTGACAGGAGAAAAACGGAACTTTAAGATATATCTGTATATATACGAGTCTATCTGTCTTTCCTTTTCTCTCTTTCTTTCTCTCTTCACAAAATGCACAGATAGCCTACGTACTCATAATGCTCTCTCTTTCTCTCTATTCCTTCTCTCCCCCCCCCCCTCTCTCTCTCTCTTTCTCTCTCTCTCTATCTCTCTCTCTCTCTCTCTATCTCTCTCTCTCTCTCTCTCTCTTATCTTCTTGAGTTATTGCATTTCGGCATTACTTCTATATATTACAGATAAAGAAATCAAGCATTCATATTACCTGGGAAATATCAGGGAGTCCGCCGGTCTGAAAGGAAAAGAGAAAAAAAATCAAAAAATGTTAGGCCCACCGCACACTAAAGCCTAAAATAAAAACTTGTTGTATTGCCCTTTGCGACCGACCCAAAAATCTGAAAATCTACGGTCGGCATTTTAAAAAAGTTTTTTTTTTTTTACCGTTTTTTATGATTATTTGTTATTAATAAATAAAAAAATATGTTTTTTGTTTGTTTAAATGGGATATAAATGCATAATATTAAATTATTCCCAAATTCTCAATTGTCTTCTGCCCTAGTTGCAAAATCCTAAAAAATATATGAATGGAATGATGACGCTGAAACACATGTATTAAAGCATTAAAAACTGAGAAATATCAACCAAACGAGGGCGGGGAAAAAAAAACCCAAAACCATTCAAATTGAAAAATATCGGCCCAAAGAGGGCGACAAAAAAAACTTAACAAAAAAAAAACTTTCCGACCGACCGACCCATGTTTTGGCACCTAAAAAGCAATACAACAAGTCTTTATTTTAGGCCTAATATGATCTAACTAAACTTCAAGGATTTTCTTGGAGGAGGATTAGCTAAATCGGCTCAGAATCGTAGTGACGTTAGACTGGTAGTGTGATTGTCTACAATTTGAAGCCGATTCAGTTTTTATTCAGACCAGAAGGACTAATGCACCACCAAAAAAAAAGTTGGAAAATTTCAAAAAGTGTTTAGTATATACACTTCCACCCTATCTATGCAATACTGCTTTGTATAACTCTGTAAAGATTTTGTAAATTTTTTGTTGTTGTTGTATTAATAAAGAAAAAAAAATCATCTTACTACTATGTATTATTTAAAATATGGGTGCTTAGTTTAGGACAAAACGAAGTGTGACATAGGCCTAGTCATAAAACAATTAAAACAGCAATAAGAAACAGTGAATTTTCTATTTTTATGAAATATATCTACCAATAATCATATTCCACTGATTTGAATGGATCAGAGTCAATTTTGATATCGACGCTCCCCAAACATATTTAATATATAAGATATCTCAAGATTGATTTGAAAATATGTAGCGCCATACATTGCAAACGGCAGATTGATTATCAAGCGTGAGATTTTCTAAAGAGGGGTTACTTTAGGTCGGTTTTCAATTTTAGAACCCGATTAATTTTTTATTTTTTAAACTTCATATTTCTAATGAAGAAAATATCACAGACCAGAACGATTGAAAATAATTATGTTCAACATGTGTGTGATTCATTATTATGTAGTTATTATAGAATGCAGGCTAAAGTTAATGTACTTACGCCATTCAAAGATCGAAGAAGCTGTATATAGGAAAGTACGAAATAAGAAAAGGAAATACATGTGTGACATGGAAAGACGCATGATTCATATATCTTATATAGTCAACACAAAAGGCAAAGAAGCATCTACATTACGAGATGACCCGGATAAATTTGATTAGATTCAAATTAAGTAATGTCGTTTTTTTCTCAATAATATATATAAAACCGATATTCTTTATGCACTGGATTGGATTTAAATGGGAACCAAATCATACAATAGAATGGCGTCTTGTGAGTTTAGACATTGTTCCACTAGGCAACTAATGATTGTTAATAGTTTCAATACATTTTTCCCATGATATGTATTTTCTTGTTAACTAAAGGAATCATTTTTGTAGCAAAGTGAAAGAACAGAAATAATAATGTCACTTTATTCATATCGAAATTGTCATTTTTCAAAACTTTGTTTTTAAGTTTGTTCAAGAATTTTTTTTAATCGAAAGAGCTTCATAAAACATGTCGAAAATAGAAGAAAGTGACAAAGGAAAATAAGAACGACAGGAGATGACATGAATCAGATAATTACGTGTTCTCTGTAGCCCTCTATAGACCTGAATCTGTCATTGATTGCCTCCAGGCGAGCCTGGTACTGTCGTCTCTCAGTGTCGATCTTACACTGTACAAAAATAATAGTCGAAATAACTCAATAAAATTGAGGAAAAGAATTGCCTTATTTTTATTAAGTAAATATTACCCACGGCATCTTAAGTAGAATTTACTTATTTTGCTGAATAAATTTTTACTCAGTTAAATCGAGTTACATTAACGTAAATAATTTAAGTATTGTAATCATTTTAGATAATTAAAAAAAAGCTATGATAGTATTACATATTGCACGATTTGGTACTCATCTAATCTAACAAGCAACATCCACTAATCATTCACTACACACTACTCCTATTCAAGATTTAACCGTATATATATATATATCTACCACCATCACAAACTATTACATACGCTTCAATTCGACACATATTGAAAGGCTCCAAATTTTATATATACTTGATCGTAGCATCTTAAAAGAAAAATTGGTTGACAATTTCCTGAAATATCAAGTTTTGATTTGTTTTGAACTGGGTAACAATTAAACATTGTCTTGTCTTTGCTTAGCTATGTTAAATGAATTAGTAAATGTTTTAAAGTCCTTAAATTTTCATTCAACCACAAAAAAGAATTATTTTATTTTAAAAAGTGTTTAATTTGGTCTTAATGAATATTCATAAATTATGTAAATATTTCTATTACGCACTGCATCGGTCCTTACTTTAAAAAGCTAAGAATAATCAACATAAATTGTTTGAGTAATACGTATAATTTCTGATTTTGAGTTAAAATTACTAAATTAATACAAGCTGAAATTACTTAAAGTTCTTATTTATTTGATTTTACTTAAATATTCCACGTATGTTCTACTAAATTGAAAGTTTGAGTTAGCAAGACTTAAATTTAGTGCGTAAGTGGCAAAACTAATGTTTTCAAGTAAATTCTACATGGAAAAAATTCGTAAAAATTACCAATGAACAAATTCTTTTTTACAGTGTAGGATTAACCATCGATAAATAGTGATGAAATAAACGAATAAATCAATAAGTATATACATTTATATAAATGAATAATAAATGAATGATCAAATATGTACATATTATATGAATAAATGAATAATCAAATATGTACATATTATATGAATAAATGAATACGTACATACAGTATATACATGAATAAATAAATTAGTTAGCGAATTAATTAACTAACAAAAAATATCTTATAATAAGCTAATGGATACAACGACGACTATAGTGATGATGATGATGATGATGATGATGAATATAATAATAATAATAATAATAATAATAATAATAATAATAATAATAATAATAATAATAATAATAATAATAATAATAATAATAATAATGATATAGTAGTAGTAATAATAATATTGATAATAATAATAATTGGAATACTATTAACAAAACAACAAAATAATAAACATCTCCAACAATAAAAGTAATAATAATAAACAAAATCATTGTAGTGATAATAATAATAATAATGATGTAAAGATTGTGAGAGGACACGAGAGAGAAATAGACAATCAGAGAAGAAGAAAATGAAAATGCACCTGCCCACCACAATAATATTGCCAACATTTCAAAGAGTATGCGCAAAGGTAATGTAACATTATTGAAATAAAAAAATTACCCCGTCCCCCAACAACAAAAATAAAAATGTATTGATCTGCAAAAGACACAAATCAATACAAAGTCAAAGCCTCCACGCTTTCTTCGAAAATAACTCGAATTTATGTCTTCATTTAACTGGATATAGTCTAATTGTTTTTTCGTTCCAGGATTATTTTTTAGTAATGTTTAAATTATTTCCTAAATCTTTCTAAAATGGACAGCAGAAAGCCCATTTATCACTCACCTCAGGCTCAAGCTGTAAAAATAAAAAATGAAAGAACAAAAATGAAACAATAATGATCGATGAAACGGAGTTATGAATGCTCTCATCATATGAGAATTTTCGGATTTATGATCAGCAGAAGGAAAAAATATACTGTAGTGCCAATTAAACATACACATACAATTTCTTGTTAAATAGACAATTTCTTTAGACAACTTTGTCAAGAGATTGTATTTTAAAAATGTACTCGAATAATGTCAGTTCGTAGATCAAGTTTAGAAGAAACATAAATATAAAAAAAAAAGTTTAGAAGAAGAAGAAAAAGCATTTTCACGGCAGAAAAAACTTGCCATTTCAATCAGCTGTACATCAAAAATACATATTGGCATTATTGACGATTCAATCCTCACATAAAAGTTGAATGAAAACAAAAATATTGTGAAAGGAAATCTGACGTAGCACTGACCTGTTCATCTCCATTTTCATTGTAGAGTGTTGCTATGTCACCAAGTGCCTGTCAAAATGGAAACAAGTACATCTAAGTGACTACTTCACATTTTAATAAATCAAAAGCATTAATACAATAATCTACACTTTTGGGGGTATGTTCTCTTTTTTTGGGTCTATTTTTGAATAATAATAATAATAATGATAATAATAATAACAATAATAATAATAACAGTAATAATACAAATAATAGGCCATATACTAATGATAATAATAATAGGCTAATGATAACAATAATAATAAAAATGATGATGATAATGATTATGTTGATGATGATGATATTAACATTAACGATTTATAAGGCGCCAAATCCACTTGAAAACAAATTATGCTCAATGTGTTTTGGTGGGAGGTTTTTTTTCCATGTCAGAGATCACAGAAATATAATTATGTGCCCCCCACCCCCCCCCCCCAAAAAAAGAGAAGAATTCTTGATTAATTAAACCACTAATATAATTTTTATCCCAAGTGCTTTGATTATTAATATATCGGCCATACATAGAGTACAAGGAGGGATTACTGAGTCATATTGAAATTGAAAGATGAAGAGGATAACCGGCTGCCGGAGCTAATGCTAGGGTAATAAGTTCCAAAGCTCTTTGGAAGCTCATATCAAGATGTTATTTCACGACCGTATTATGCGCTGTACAAGAACTGAATATTATTATTATTAAAGAGAAAAACCAAGTCTACTATTTGGCCTCATTTTCACTCACCCGATTTAGTCTATCAGTAATCCCACCCAGTTCCTCCTCAATGAAAGACGTATTCTCCACCCCCGAGGGATCCGGCAGCCCCAGCGAATTCAGCGGCACCGGCGCCCCTGGAGCACGGCGTACCTCTGTGCCCAGGACGGGCACCTCGGCAAGTTTCAGGGTACCCCATGAAGATACCCCATCCGGCTTCTCATCGGGGCGTGGTTTTGATGGTGCTTTGCTCCCTCCTCTCGGCGCCCGGGCTTTCTTGTCCGCCATAATTTGTCATCAATTGACGAAAAACAAAATGACGTACCCCCTGTAAACGTCGACGGTGCGTTATTTCGGGTTGCAGGAAGTGATATTATTATTAGCACAAAATAGAGACCAAAGGGCGAGTTCTTCCTATTTTTGTTGACTCCTTTATTTGAGATGATGCTTAGAATCCTTCGAAGTGACTAACGTTTCAATATTTTAGGGTTTTCAAACGATTTCCTTCTCAATAAGAATTTATCATGATTCTTGAATGTTCGCCGAATATATTATACAAACTGAAGCTGCTCGAAGATGAACGCGAGGCATTACTATACCTGAAAGCTGTACTTGAACTTAACAGAGTCTTCCAATCTTGTAAATTTTATTTTCAATATTTGCTTGTCGTCCTTGAGTTGCAGATGATTCTAATATTTTTAGCTTCTTTTTCTTTCTTTTTTGTTTCGATATACAATGTAGAAAGAACAGGTGTTTCTTCAATGAGGTATGCAGAGAAATAATATGAGTGATGTTTCCGGTGTGTTCCTTATTGCTAATATTTGTGAGGTGGTGGCTAACCGATTTTGTTCGGCTTGGTATTTACGGCTGTGTTGCTTGAAGTTGGAATGTGTTATGTTTGATTAAATACTTGAGAACTTTCTGCTTTATAGGGGGAGATTGGTTTCCAGGATTACCACAGGAGCGTGCGCGTCAACATGAGTCTTTCTTTTTATGACGTCACAATAACAAACGCGCGCATCAGCATTGCCATTGCAAAGTACATCCGAGTTTCGTTTAAGACCGTCAATACTACTGGGCCAGAAGGGATTAGACCACACAGCGAGGTCACTGACAGGTGGCTATCTCATTAACTCAGCTCTCAACTAACATAAGAAAAAGAGGATCATGGGGGACCCGCCAACAGGCACAGATTGGGGAAGTTTTCTATATAGAGGGAGCAAGTAGCTACAAGTAGGACAGTGGGGCTTAAAACTACTATTATCTAACTGTTTTGGTACTACTGTTTGTTTGTTTTTGGTTGTGTGCCACTCTGGCCCCTCTGGGCCCCTCTGGGCCACTCTTTGTAAAGTAAACTATACCTCAGTCATTGAAAAGACCACACATAATTTTCATTAGCGGCATAGAATAAAATACAAGCCATTGTTGATCTTGTAGTTTAACTGTTTGCTTTCTCAAAATTAAAAAGTGTTAATTCTTTTTTCCCTCCCTCTCCCTCTCTCTCTCTCTCTCTCTCTCTCTCTCTCTCTCTCTCTTTATGGGGGTTTGGGGAGGAGGAGAGGGGGCATCACTTCCCATGCAATAACTTCGACTATAGGGGTATGGAATGGTCCGAGTGGACCCCGATAATTTGAAATTACCAATTTTCGGGCAATGATCACCTCATATTCGGGCAGCAAGTTGGTCTATTTAGACTTTTGTTCACATCGATCATATCTCCTTTTTATTTTATGACAGAATAACATTTTCACAAGTTATCTGTGTCCCCTTTTAAATACCCTAGAGGGATACCTTAAATGGGAAGTCCACAAATTAGAGAAACAGTTCAGTGAAAGTTTGAGCAAAAGCCTATTAAAAGTATGCAAGTTAAAATTTGTTGAAGGTGCGACCAATCAAATACAAAGTCCGTGATGTATCTAGCGAGGTCCCGGGCCCTCCCATCTGCCCTATTCTAAAAATTATAAAATTTATATTTTCCATTAAGAAAATGTTCAATCATACATTTAACCTAAATATCATTATTACAAACGAGTTATTTAGACAACCCCTGTATGAAACATATCTACTCCGTCATTAATAAAAAATAAATAAGAAAATGAAAGTTAATGAAATTTCCTGTGCAGAGCAAATTAGAGAGGAGCTCGCAAGATACGTCCGAGTGTTGCCAATTTGTGTATGACAACTTCAAGAATTCATAGCTATTCTATTTTAAATCGAAAATTGATCAAACTTTCACAAATTGTTCAGCTTTCAGTAGCTTTCAACTGAGGTATAGACCAGTTCTGGTCATGCGATTGCATTGTGAAATCGATCAGAAAAGGTTGATCATCTAGCATATACGTATTTGTGTACTGCAAGGTTCTGGAATAATCAAAATGATGAGAAATTTGGCCGTCTTGGTAAAGTTACAGGCACTGTACACAGAAAGATGTATATGGGACTACACGATATCTATCCAGTCCGGATAGATATAATAACTTACCAAATATATCAACTAGTAGACGGTTTCCCGGCAAAATTTGTATCGTCACGTAGTAGTCAAAAGAGCTTCCATTTCGTTTTTTGAGAGGGGGGCGTTTCCAAAACTGGTCTATACCTTTAAAACCAACTTAATATAAAGGTGGACTTCCCCTTTAATAACACACAACCTGAACAAAAGGGCAACCCTGAAAAATATTACCTCCCCATTTACAACATCCTGAACCCACCCATGTATAAGGGCAAATCATATTGTCCATCTATTAGGAAATATGTATTGTATTTCTATGCCTCTATCTATACTGCGGCCTTTATAGACAGTTTTGACTGCAATCAGAATAATTACACCGGATGAAAAATATCTTTGTTCATGGCTTACATTTAATCATTACACAATAATAACATCGGGCAATACATGTTCGTATAAAAAAAGATGTTACAAGGCGAGATGCATTGTGAAATATTTTTGCATAATGATGTCGTAATTACGGAGTTTAATTTATTGGGGGTTTATTTAAGGATATGAGTAATGAAAGACAAGCAAGAATAAAATTGGTATGATCATTTGGACCCTTTTGATAGAAACATCATGAATTCTTGATTTATTATCCATGCAAGCACTGCACAAGCACGATCACTGCAATTTCTGAAAGAGTTATATCCGTTGTACATGAAGCGTCAATTCCAAGGTTATGTAATTGCGCTTCATAGTATGTCTTTCGATTTGTCAAATTCAAACTTTCTAAACATGACTATCTTTCTCTCATTTACCGACTTTTTAATGGCTTTTGAATACTCTATAATATCACAATCATTTTTTTTCTAATTAGAAAATGAATTAATGTAAAAAAAGGAATGAATAATTTTGGAAGAGTAATACAAAAAAATATCCAAACAATGAAATTACCTGAATACTTAAAAGAACACTACCCCAAACGTTAGTACATACCAAAATCATGCCTTCAGAAGTATAATAGTTACATTCATAATACCCATAACAAGATTAAAATATCCTTAAATGGTTCCTATAACTGAAAACATCACATGAAATTAGTTTTTCTTCATAGTTTACATAAAAATCCGTGATTTTATATACATGTTAATATACTTTCATTCAAAAATAAAATAAGTTTCATGAAACATGAACTAAAGTCGAAAAGAAGAATTTCTTGTAAAATATATCCCCGTAATGCATAATGCGTCAAACAACTCAATTCCAACAAAAGCTACTCTTCAATTTCACAGTGCGAGAGAGCTTTGTGTACATGCACTTCTCAAAAATTAAAATCTTAAGATTCTATAAACCAAGATGTATGAAAAATGACCTGCATATTAATACAGTCAAAACAGACATAGAGACAAGGTATTATGGCAATAACATAAAAAGAGAAGCGCTGTAATTTCAAACATAGTAAGTAGATTTAGAAAATAATTTCAGATAGTTTCAGGTGCTTCTTCTAAATTTGAAAGCCGGTAAAGTTCCCTTATCTCTCTCTTTTTGTTAATCTTCACATGCCTCTTTTGTAAGCATTTATCAAATGAATACAAACTCAATTAACATTAAATAATACAAATGCGATAACAGGGAGATACATATTTATGAAAATACAGACAATTTTACGAATTAATGATCGCATAATATTACCTAAATTCTAATAAAAATATGAATGCACTGATCTACAATGTACAGTTATAGCAAGTAAGCAACACAAGCCTAGAATATGGAATAAATACATTAATGAATATTATATCGTCAAATAATACTATAAAAATTGGTTAGAAAAAAACATACACAAATCATATCCCTCAAGCTAATTATAAAACCCAAAACTTCCTGTTAACTTGTTATTTTAAATTTTCAGGACCCCCAAAACATTCAATTCTACTGTATCACTACAAAACAATCTATTGCTTGCATTAATTCTTTTGAGTCCCTTTTGCAAACTCCATAAAACTTGGCTAGTGTTTAAAATATATCCCTCAGATATCATATGCGAAATTTTGGTCATTGGTTTTGAAACTCCTTGGTAAGAAATAAAAATCTAGCACTGTTTTCATATTGCCACAGAGAAGGCCATTCCCAAGTCGAAATGTGTAATGGTCAAATTCATTTTGAATTTAGAATATAATTATCTAGAATTAAACATTCAAAATTTAATTGTTGAAAGCCAGTTTCCTTTTTTTTTTATTTGTTGGAGATGCCTAATAATTGAGTTCTTCAATATACCACTTGATTCATGCTCCTACAGGCATTTAGGTCTGCAAAAGGGACAAACCATCTCAAAGTTTTAACTTATTTGTCAGCACTAGGCAATTGACATACAATCATACACTATTCAAGCATTTCAGAAAAATATGTGTGCATTATAATTCCTCAAGTCAATACAGATCTATTCTATTCACCAATCTCTCCACTGAAAATACATACAAAATATACAATGATATATTGATCTAGTGATACAAACTTTCTACATGCTTATATTTCTAATTATATATAGATAAGATTTCAAATGAGTAAAAGTATAGAGATGTAAAAATACAACAAAATATGTCATTACTACGACTACTGGCATTTTTTTTACAATATTCAAAAAAATTATTCTTACAAGCATCTCCCAACAGACTTCCTTTTCCTTTTCCTTTTCATTTAAAAATAATGGTACACTACAGTGCACTCTTTCAACCTGCATTACATATAACATCCCTCTTTTAATGAAACAATGACATGAATGCAAAAAAAAAATTTGTCAAAGACCACTACAAACATGGAATGCTGTGTGTCTGGTCACAAATGAATGTTTTTGTTTTCGATAAAAAAAAGGAAATTTCTCGAAATAATTTCACATTGGTATTGCGTTTACATTGGGTTAAAAGTCCCTGAATATACATGTATGGTTTAATGCACATGGGAAAGGCTTTGTAATTGGTCAAAAATATTGAGGTCCTTCACATCCGATCTGGTCACTTCAAAGCAAGCGTTCTTTCATCAACATACATGAAGCATCCTCACTTGCAGTTGTAATAATTATTTCAGGAGCATTTTCATCATAAGTAGGTATTGACTCTTGTTGCTGAATCTTCTTCATACCTAATCAAATTCTAAGCAAACACTTTATTTTGACAACAGATCCTCTTTAAAAAGCTCTTTAAAAAGCTCACTGCATCCTTAAAACGATCTCACAGATGTACATATTCAAACAAGGAGGTGAGAAAATACCTTGGATGTTATTTACATACTTAAAATATCACAACGCTTCATGATAACGAATGGAATCAAGTATAGAAGAAAGTGTATTTCTTACAACCTGTAGAAAGAATGCAAATTGGTAAAGGAGTAAAAGTTCCTTCAACGTACCGACTTAGCCACCTAACCACCAGAGAGAAAGACAGGGAGCAATAAGAGAGGGAAAGAGAGTAAAAAAAGGGGTAAGGGACACAGAGAGAGAGAGAGAGAGAGAGAGTGAAAGAGAAAGAGGTTGGGCAAAAAAGATGGAGAAAGAGAGAACGATAGTTCCATGCAATTGTAAAAAGGCATTAAAATTCATGGCACTGGGAAAAGAAATCTTCTACCAACACAGGTACCAATCCCCACTGCAGTCAAACGAATCCAATCGCTGTTGACCCTTTACAACGCCTTGAGGTCGTCGGTGGTGGTGATGACGACACTGACCTGGCCCCCGGCGGCATCTTCCGAGTCCCTGCCCCTCTTCTTGAGAACGGCTACGTTGTGCTCGGGTTGGCCCTTGTTCCCAGCCAAGAAGATGGCCTGCCCCATGAACGAGTCTTTCACAACGTTATGGTTCCAAACCTTACGGAAAAAGAGAGAGGGGAAAGTAATCATCAAAATTATCTACATGATCATCACCATCATCATCTTTATGTGTAATATCATCATTGCCAACATGATTGTCGTCATTGTCACAATCATCAAAGATTAAGTCATAGTTATCATCAAAACGATCTACTTGTTCATCACCATCATCATCTTTATGTGTAATATCATCATTGCCAACATGATTGTCGTCATTGTCACAATCATCAAAGATAAAGTCATAGTTATCATCAAAACGATCTACTTGTTCATCACCATCATCATCTTTATGTGTAATATCATCATTGCCAACATGATTGTCGTCATTGTCACAATCATCAAAGATTAAGTCATAGTTATCATCAAAACGATCTACTTGTTCATCACCATCATCATCTTTATGTGTAATATCATCATTGCCAACATTATTGTCGTCACTGTCACAATCATCAAAGATTAAGTCATAGTTATCATCAAAACGATCTACTTGTTCATCACCATCATCATCTTTATGTGTAATATCATCATTGCCAACATTATTGTCGTCATTGTCACAATCATCAAAGATTAAGTCATAGTTATCATCAAAACGATCTACTTGTTCATCACCATCATCATCTTTATGTGTAATATCATCATTGCCAACATTATTGTCGTCATTGTCACAATCATCAAAGATTAAGTCATAGTTATCATCAAAACGATCTACTTGTTCATCACCATCATCATCTTTATGTGTAATATCATCATTGCCAACATTATTGTCGTCATTGTCACAATCATCAAAGATTAAGTCATAGTTATCATCAAAACGATCTACTTGTTCATCACCATCATCATCATTGCCAACATGATTGTCGTCATTGTCACAATCATCAAAGATTAAGTCATAGTTATCATCAAAACGATCTACTTGTTCATCACCATCATCATCTTTATGTGTAATATCATCATTGCCAACATTATTGTCGTCATTGTCACAATCATCAAAGATTAAGTCATAGTTATCATCAAAACGATCTACTTGTTCATCACCATTATCATCTTTATGTGTAATATCATCATTGCCAACATTATTGTCGTCATTGTCACAATCATTAAAGATTAAGTCATAGTTATCATCAAAACGATCTACTTATTCATCACCATTATCATCTTTATGTGTAATATCATCATTGCCAACATTATTGTCGTCATTGTCACAATCATCAAAGATTAAGTCATAGTTATCATCAAAACGATCTACTTGTTCATCACCATTATCATCTTTATGTGTATCATCATCATCGCCAAAGTCACCATTTATATCATCATCATTACCAACATTATTGTCATCATCGTCACAATCATCTTCTTTTCTTCAACTTGCTGCCCCCCCCCTATCACTCCTCCCATCTCCTCCTCCTCCTCTTCTTCCTTCTCCTCCTCCCCCTCTCTCTCTCTCTTTCTCTTTATCTCTTTATCTCTGCTCCCCTCTGCCTCTCTTTCATCTCTCCTTCACCTTTCCCTCTCCTCCACATCTCTCTTCTCTCTCTCTCCCTATCCCCTGCATCTCTCTCTCTCTCTCTCTCTCTCTGTAATTATCCAAACAAGCAGCTCTTACCTCCACAATGATGGGTGTTCCTGGTTTCCTCCTGTAGAAGATGGAATTGTAGTTCCATTCTGGATTCAGCGTATCCTTCTGTACCCTAGACGTGGCTGTCTTTCCTTCACACTTGACATATACGTAGGGATCAGCTCCTGGTAACCAAATGGAAATCACAGTGTTGGTGAAAATACATGAAATATATATATAGTCTGGTACGCCAAACAGGTAGTTGTCTATACATCTCTCTTTTAAAGCTCCTTCAGATACGACACGACAAACCCAAGGCACTTATTTCATGACAACGTAAAGTATAAATCACAGGGGTGATAGTGAGCACTTAAAAAAAAATTGTTTTTTTGTTTTCCCCTCAACCATGCCCCCCTTGAGTAAAAAAAGAGAAGATGATTCGCAGGGGAAAAATGGCATCTAACAACATTCCCCCTTTTGAGTAAGAAAATTAGGGAAAAAATAGGGCAAAATATGGAAGATTGGAGAAAATAACGGGGAAATTGGTACAATCAGGATATAAGAGGGAAGAAGGAAAAAAATCTGGTTAGAAAAAAAAAAAAAAAAAAAAAAATTAAATCGGGAAAAAATCGGGAAAAATCAAAAAAATCGGGAAACCGATTTAAATCGGGTTTTTATCAGGCCAGAAATCACTTCGCAATTCTGTATCTTATAACACAGAGCTCAGTGGATACATGCAAATCATTTGTTACAGGCTTTAAAAAGCCGACGCCTTCTTTTTCTTTGTGGCGATTCAGAGCGACACATCTGAACGAGCCTTTAGTGCGTTTCCACAGGAGAGCCAGAAAGTAATTGAATCGTCTATCTGGAATAAAACCTCACCAGCAACCCATGTGTTAATGTAACGAGTCTGTTCGTACAAAACCGCAACAAACTGTTAATAAAAACAGCAGGTGGAATTTACAGGGTACATATGACGTCTAGAAAGTGGACATGGGAATGGGCACTGTGCGCACTGTGCATTTTATGACATGATGGTAAAACGGTAATATTAACAGAAACGTTTCCACCGAGGTCAGTGAGCATACCCAAAAAATTCACCTCTGGAAATGGGTACAATTTTCCCATACAGTATGATCAGTTTAGGGTGTAGATGTATTTCTACAGCTCAATCGAGAAACTGGAAATAATGTGTGAGACCCAGAAAGTAACAGAAAGTAACATTATTTTGAAAATCCTATAGACACACACCGTTTGTCTCTGCCTCCCTTTCTCTCTCTCTCTTTCTACCTCTCTCTCTATCCCCCCCTTCTCTATCTCTCTCTCTCCATCTTACCTCCTCCAAAGTGGTCTTGCTTCTTCAGGTTGCTGGCTGAAAGTACGTTGACCTGTGACACGACCCTGATGTTACCTCCTTGGAAGCAGTCGAAGGTCTTAGGTTCGGGATGGTCCTTCTTCAGCTCCCTATCAGATCAAAACAAATAACATGATGTTTAAAGTAGTCATCTGAAGGTCCAAAGTGTTTTGAATTGATGCAAAATTCATATCATTGTGAAGGAGAAGCCTTACTGATCAAATATAACAACTTCCCTCTTCAAAATATGTTTGGGGCCCCCAGTAATATCTCTGAAAAATGTTAATTTTGAGATCCATATTTTCTGCCTCCAGCGGTCCTCCGTAGAGCCTCGAGTTTCGAAACGTCACATGCGAGACACAGCTAGCCACAAAGCATTTTTAACACTTTCCATGATATCTTTACGATTTTTCAGCAAATTATTTGTGTTTTTCAATCCATATATAATTTGTTCATAATTATCAGTTGTTGTGAATTTTCTTCAGGTGACTACTAATCATCTTTTTGTAATCGTCTTTTTGGAACAACTGGAGAGTATCCGCTAAACGAGGAACCCCAACCCTAATTCTAAGGTTTACCATGACCCTGTATGTGACTCTGACCCTAACCCTAATCTATTGTGCTGATGCGTGGTAGAGTATTCTGCAGGGGGGGGGGGGGTGGCGGTATACAACTATACATGTTTAAGAACAAAACAGAGACTTCTGCATATTTTGTTTTACCTCTTGAATTATTGTTTACAGATAGAAGAAAATATTTCATGTAGAAAACCATGTATATCCCTCCAGAAATGGACACAAATGCTGAAAATGTGAAAATGTATATATTATAATGAGGAAATAAAGAAGACCAGAAATGGGCTAAAATTTTTAACCCCCCCCCCCAAAAAAAAAAAAAGAAAAAAAAAAAAAATTATACATGTTTATCATGTAATGGCAAACATTAGCTTCGTCAGATATCAACAGATTATTCTTCACAGCTGATCATGCCAGCAGTTCATATAAGCCGTATAGATACACTAGTCTTCCCTCAGCTATCACTGATCAATATCAAAACCAGAAACTTTCACATGCATGAATTGTTCCCAATATTGCAACAATTTCAAACTCGTGGAAGTTTCATGCTTCAAAATAATCGCAAATGACAACTGCAATTCACACAACTTTCTTGCAATGGCGAATTGCCTTCCTGAACAAGGTTTTGCAGTACTTTATGTATATGTATTGTAATTTGTAGAATTTTTTGCATTTTGTTGTTGTTTTGTTTAATATGGAATTGATTATCGCTGTATTTTGTTTGTTATAGCACTTAAAAACTTGGTGGTAAGCGCTTTATAAGCACCGTTTTTATTATTATTATTTGGAAGTAGAAACAAAAAATCTCACTTGACTTCAGCGCCACTGTCAGAGAACACTCTGATCATGAGGGGAGACTCAACCTTGGCTTCGAAGATGGTCGGCACGACGATGTAGCGCCCTCTGAGGAGGGTTGACTTTGCAAAGACACTCCTGGAGTTGATGTAGGCGGACATGAAGGTTTTTGGCTTGATCGTATGTGCACGATGCTTCCTGTTGCTCTCCACCTACAGAAAGAAGACAGAAAAGAAAGGCACATTGATTTAATTTTTTTTTATAAATGTTTTTATTGTTATTTCTGAAAAATTAACAGAGTAAAAGCAACAATATACAATGTAATATATAAAGGCACGTTGAATATTTGTTAATCCATCAGGGTACTGTTTCATAAAACTTGATAAAAATAAAGAGTTACAAGCTACTGTTATAAGCTACTGAAATCATGGCATCTGATTGGCTGAGAACAAATTTGTCATAGAAATTTAGCAGTTATTATAAAAAACAAGTTTTATGAAACGGGCCCCTTAATTATCTATTTTATCTTGTGCTTAATAATGAATCAATATAGAATCAATAAAACTGGTCTCTTTCTTGCGCTCCTTGAGATGATATGATTTCATAAGAAAGGCATTTTCTTGAATCATGAGCTTGGTGTTTTCTGTTGCTTTACAAGGAGAGAAACTTGCTTCATACATTTGTCTACCATTCTTAGGGAGTGTTTTACATTGAATAAGATCGACCTTAATTTGGACTTAACTATGACAGGCCCTTCATGCCACTGTTTGCTGGCATTTGTCTCTCAAGGGACGTACAAATCATGGTCACAAATTTACAAAAAAGAGTGAATTAATAGTATATTTTTGTTTATAATTAGCTTTATATGTAACATTATATACCTCACTCAAGAAATCCAGCCATCTGATTGGTCGAAATTGCATTCATAAACTTTAACTATTTCTGTAAAATTCCCAGTAACCATGGTTAAAACAGTTCTAAAATCCCAGTTACCATGGTTACCGGGAAAATAGTTCAGTCTCCATGGTTACCCAATAGGTTTACATGTTAAAAAATGGTTTGAGCGATCGAGGATACCGTACATGTGCGAAGAATTGGTCGGTATTTTCATACAAGACAAGACAATTCCAAACAAGACAAAAATGGCTCAAGAACTCTCTCAAGATTTCAACTTATCAAATGCAAGACTCGCTGACAGCAAGAACAACAAAAAGGGTACGTGAAATTATCCATAAACATGTTCGTTTAGTTGCTGAAAAAGTATAGACGTAGACTCTAGACGAAAATAGATCTAGTTGTCAGGGTGTCTGATCGCGCACCCGATGTAGTGTGTTAAAATTCTTCTCATAGAGTTTGCACGCAATGCAGTCGCTATGCAGTCTACGTGCATTGCGCGACCATGCAAAAAAAGTCAAGTTTTTTTTTTTCAATTCGAGATTCAAACCTTTATCTGTTGTGATCCTGAAGGTGATACTCAATAAGTGAGGTGTCATATGAAAGTGCAGGTTCTTCTCCATATTACCCACAGGGCCGGCCCACCCCCAAAATTGTAAAAATATCTTGCTTAGACTAGAATCTAGATCTAGTCTATTCTCAAAGATACACTCATAAAAAACAACTGTGCAGATAAACTAGAGAAAGGCCAAGGTGGTGTCATTAGTTGCCTCTTTTGTTTTCGGCATATAAAAGTATTAATGACTGCTTTAATATTTGAGAAAAAGTTGTTTTTATACGATCTCGGGAAGGTTACAATTGGGCTATTGCCCTCGGCACGCCTCGGGCAATAGCACAATTCTAACCTTCCCTTGAGCGTATAAAAACAACTATTTCTCTCAAAGCAGTCATTGTACCGGAGTGTTGGCTCAGTCAGTAGAGCGTCCGCCACACAACCGGGAGGTCGTGGGTTCGAACCCCGGCCGCGTCATACCAAAAGACGTTAAAAGATGGGAGTTGTTGCTACCTTGTTTGGCGTTCAACGATAAGGGATAGAGCAACGTCGATCTGGCGCTGCTCAGTGGCTGCCGGGCTCACGATCAATTGGGCAAAAAGAATTTCCGTTTCGGTTTAATAAAATTTGGAGTGGACTATTATTAGGCTATTATTATTATTATTATTATTATTAATACTATATTACAAATTTTGTCTGTTTATTCTATAAAACCCTCGCAGGGCCTGCTTCTGGACATATAGTCGAAATCATCAAAGGTAATTTACCCTTCCGGCTCTCAAAAGGCAGAATATTGGGAGGGGGAGGGGTAATATCCCTTGTCTTACCTCCATGACATAGAATCCAATAGTCTTTGGATCCTCGCTCTGATCTGCCCTGGTGTCTGGTTGGGAGAGGGAGATGATGATGTCATCTTTGTCAGCGTCCACACAGATCAAGAACTGCAGGATGAAGAGAAAGAGAGAGTGAGAGAGTGAGAGAGAGAGATACAGAGAGAGAGAGAGAGATACAGAGAGAGAGAGAGAGAGTTACAGAGAGAGAGAGAGAGAGATACAGAGAGAGAGAGTTACAGAGAGAGAGAGATATATACAGAGAGAGAGAGAGAGATAGTAAGAAGAATGAGTGAAGGGCACTACATGTATTTCACATGTTACAGTATCAAGTGCTTTACAATATCCTCTACAACATCTCTTATCAAGTGTTTAAACCACTTGATTTAATGCACAGGACGAAGTGAGGACGTAAAGTACCTGTGGGTTTGAAGAAATGTGGTTTTGGGCTTGAACCCATGACCTATCAAGAGTTTAAACCACTCAACTCACTGCACAGGACTTAAGGCGTATGGACTAAACATACATGTGAATTTTGAAGGAATGTGGTTTTGGGCTGAGAACCCATGACCTACCAATTGTTAAAACCACTCGACTCACTGCACAGGGCTTAAGGGGTCTGGAAATAACGTACCTGTGAATTTTGAAGGAATGTGGTTTTGGGCTCAGACCCATGACCTATCAAGTGTTTAAAGCCTTATTTGCACTAGTTTGGCCAGGAGGGATTAGACCTCCCTGCATGGTCACTGACAGGTGAATATCTCATCAAATAAGCTCTCAATTAACATAAGAAAAAGAGGATCATGGGGACCAATGATTAGGCATTATTTGCTATATAGAGGGCGCAAGTGGCTATAAGTAGTACAATGGGGCATACCTGTGGGTTCTGAAGGAATGTTTCTTTCACGTTGATGCATCCACCAGCTCTGTTCAAGACGCTATTGGAGTTATATTTCCATTCGCTGATGAACAAGCTCTCATGCCAGGTGCGTTGAAGGCTTAGGTATGTCTTGTTGGGCATCCGGCAGATTACAAGGGTTGTGAAGTGTTGACAGAACTGATCGAATGGCATCCTTTGGAGTTAAGTTATAAAGAAGAGGATTTATTTAAGATGAGGATCACCAAAACACTCTCTTTTTTCACTCTACATTGATTGATTGATTGATTGGAATTTATTCCATTTTATATATCAATTGTTTGCACAATAAAGAACATAGTTGACAAAGTAAGTTCAAAATTATGAAATGAAACAGGAACCTACTGGAAAGCATAGCTTGTTTTTGTAGGTTCCCAAGAATAAATATAATATGAACATTATATTCATAAATGATTTTAAAGTGTCTTAATAATAAGGTTCATAAGGTAATCACAGTAAAATAGATATAATACAATAACATATTTTCTTAAACCCTTTTAAAGTGTCTAATTAATAGAAATAAACAAAAGGAACAGAATTACAAAACGGGACACAAAGGACAGGAAACTGACATAATAAGATAAGACAAGACGTGACAAAACAATTCATAACAGGACTGTTATGTTTGGGGTTGCCTCCTGATATCCCATATTCAAAATATAAGTTTGAATTATGACTGTTGTAAAGAGTTATAACTGCATGATGTTGTTTCAATAGTAGTATACATATATCTATAATGTTCTCTCGGTATTATGGGCGTTCCCAACTCAAGCCATGCTTTCCGGGTTTTCGCCTCCTTCCGTATCTGAATTATTTACTGTATATTCTTTGTTGAAATAATTGTTACATATATCCTGTATATATACATTGTGTTTCATATTGTACTGTTGAGAAGGAAATAAATGTTAATAAAAAAATAAAAATTAAAAATTTTAAAAAAATGTAATTGGAAATAAAATATCAAAGTTGCCAATTTGAGAAGAAATATACCATCATTACGTCATAAGGATAACCCTTTAATCAGTATATTGACACTACATTATTTTCAAAAAGGAAGAACTGCAGGAAAATAGGAATGACAACATACCAGAACTCTCCGTCATCTTCATTCACGATTCCAATGCTCTTGCGTTGGCTTTCACTAATGTTCTGCCACTCTGGTGACCTGTAGAGGAAGTTTGGTAAGTTTTATGAGTAGGTAAGAGTATTTTATTAGTGACATGCATTCAGAAATCACAACATCTTTCATGTTTGATTAATAATGTGCATTCCCCCTATCATCACAGACCTGCCAACCTCTGGAGTTCAAAAACTGTATTTTTTAATCCCAAAAGTTGTATTTTACTGACAAAAATTGTATCCAAAAAAAAAAAGGATCAATGCCTCTTACAGTTCCCACATATAGGAAGACATTTTTTTTATGGATCATTGGTTGAATATGCATGTTTTGTCATGACTGGTGTGTTCAATGAACCAATGAACATCCCCAAATTGCGGATGTGAGATGCTTGTAGGATACTTTACAGGACAGAATGGTTTTGGGGTTTTGTTTTGGCAAATCGTACTGTCATATTTACTTCTAAAGATCGTACGAAATACGATTAAATCGTACTGGTTGGCAGCTCTGTCATCATCATCATCAGTATCATAATCAGTATCATCATCCTCATTATCTTCCTTATTATGTTCATCATTATCATCACTATCATCATCATCCTTACTTCCACCTTTACCACTTTCTTTGTCATCACCTTTAATGACTTTAACATCAACAAATTCATTTCCACAACTACCATTTTATACCAAATATCATCCTGTCCACTACCATCATTATGTTCATGTTGATGATTGTGCTGGACATATCTCTGGCTGGGGTCTATAGATAATGTGAGTTCTACCTAGATCAAACTGCCTTCAACAAGATAATGTAAATATCAGATTTGACAATTACCACCATCAAAATCACCACAATCACTAACATCAATGTGAACACTAACACTACCACCACCATCATTACCACCACCACCACCACCACCACCACCACCACTACCACTACCACCATCATCTCATTTTCTTACCCGTCACTCCACGGTCCATTCCACTCCTTCTCTCCCCATGGATTCCTCAGTCTCACCAAGTACTCTTTCTCTTTCTTGAAGAATCCAGAGCTTCCCAGCTTGACAGACTTCACTGCAGTCACTCCATAGGCATGGCCTTTGACCAGTCCAACATCGGTCCTTGCTTCCATCTCTTCAGCATTGGTTACCTTTAACGTAAATCATCAGAAATGTTACTTCTTTTTATCTATCTGCTCTTACAAAATTTCAACATTTCGAAATAAAAATATTATTTCATAGACATATCATGTTTTCTTCTGTCACTTTGCGGAGACAGAGTTGATTTATTTAGACCTTTGAAAACTACTGTATCTTTTTTAATTTAATTCCATTTATTGAAAATTTAAAAAAAAAATATACAAAAACATCAATACAATAGAAGAATAATATCAAAGAACAACAACATAAATATCTCTAGAGGTTAATCCAGTACATGTACCTTGATGGATGCACTCATTTGAAACCTTCTCTCGCTGTATTTCTTCATCTGGGAGTGGAGCTCCTTCTTCTTGTTCTGATCTGCTTGGAACTCTGGATCGGCGAGGTTGATCTGCTCTGCCACGCCCCCGGTGAAGTCCACCAGGGCGTCGGCTGTGTTGCCCCCATCCAGGTTCTCATAACAACCAGAGATCCTATTAGATTAAAAAGAGACGGTAATTAGTCAATGAGTCTTGGTATCATCCAGCATCATGTAACATATGATATCAATAGCAATAATACTTCACGAGGAGAATGATGATGATGAAGAAGATGATGATGAAGAAGATGATAACGAAGATGGTGATAACGAAGATGGTGATAATGATGTCAATGATTCTGATTCTGATGAGAGTGTTACGATGTGATGATTGTTACGATGATGAAGAGGAAGAGGAGGATGATAATGATTGTGATGAGGATGATGGTGATGATGAAGATGGTGATGATGATGATGATACTGATGATATCAATGATTCTGATACTGATGATGGTGATGATTGTTACGATGATGAAGAAGGGGGGGGGGGAGGAGGAGGAGGAGGAGGAAGTGGAGGATTATAATGAATCTGATGGGTATAATGATAATGATAATGAAGATGATGATGAATTGTGGTATTGATAATAATAATAATAAAGATTAATAACAAAAAAATTAAAAAAATTACAATCATCAGCACCAATAATAACATATATACAATATAATTCCTCCTTTTTTTCTCTCTTTACAACTGCGAAGTGAAGCCAATGCAAAAATTGTTATGTTTTTTTTTCTTCTTCAACTGATTGCATTTGAAGGCTGTAATCACACCTCAGATAATCAGAATTGTAAGTGACTTACATGTATTTTATTTACCAACTCAATTTAAAAAGCAAGGCTATGGTTAGCTTGTGGTTGGTGGTCGAGTGTCAAGATGATTGGATTGTACAACAATTTGCATGCATATCTAATAATCCATCTCAATAAATACAGTAAGCTCTTTGAATCAAACAAAATTCACTCAATTCAGTTCACTTCAAACTAAAATACATTAAATATGGAAAGCACAATTGCTAGTTAAACAAAGCATGAACATTTTCCATAAAATTGTGAAAGTTTCCCTCCCCTTTAAAAAGTGAATAGGATCTGCATCATTCATTCTTCTTCTTTTTTTTCTTCTTTTTTTTTGGGGGGGGGGGGGGGGGGGGGGGGGGGGGGCTTCTTCTTTTCAATCATATCCTCACCCCAAACTAAAAATAGTTTTTATTTTCTGTTCAAAAGTGTACTTTTTATAAATCCCAAGCAACTACATGAACAAAAATCTTTGAGACTGTTTATACTGCAAATTTAAATGTTTGTTATGTCGAAATTGGCTTCAGGCTTTACAAAGTCAAAGTTAAAGGGTCAGGGTCAAGGTTCCAAATGGATTTTATGTTAGGTTTATGGTAAGGGTTAAGGTAGTGCCTATTCAGTATTTGGAGATTGACCATAGAGCAATAGTCGCCAAAGCATGTGTCGTGCAACCTGCCAGTCAATAAATCAAGCCACTGCTACAATCAGATCAATCGATACCTATAAAGTCACTTAGGCATAAATAAAAATGATGTTGCATTGCCCTTTGTGACCGACCTAAAAACCTTAAAATCTATGGTCAGCTTTTTAATAATTTTTAGAAAAATGTTTAACACATAGATATGTTTTTGTTCGTTTGAATGGGATATAAATACAGAAAATCATTAAATTATTCCCAAATTCTCACTCGTCTTCTGCCTTAGTTTCAAAATCCTTCTAGGCAAAGCATAAACAAGTAGACCCCGGCCTCGTTTAAGTGTATATACCATGCACTGCACCAGCTAGAAACCAGTGAGATTTGGGTGCATTTCCGGTCTTTAGCTTTGTGGCATGGTCACTGTTTTGACAGAAAAAAAGAAAAAGGAAACTGACAGACCGACCCAGGTTCTGGCACCTAAAGAGCAATACAACATCTCTTTTCTTTTAGGACTTATCCTCTAATGACCAAACTTACTTAGCATAGGCCTTCTCAAGAAGAGCACTCCAGAATTCATTGCCCTCTTCGGAGTGTGTGTAGATAAGTTTGTTGCCATGTGTCGGCAGTCTGTCATCGATCACCACATCGGTCCACTTGCCAAAGCGCCAGAATCGGAAGTGAAAGATGCCGGCATACTTTTCCTTGTTATCTGCGTCCCAGTCTTGATCTTTAGCATTGGGAACAACCTAAGAAATAAAGAAATTTGTCAAGGTTGATGATGATAATGTTTGTAATAAGCAAAAACCTACTTAAATCCAGCTCTGCTACCTGCATGAACATGTAATGCTAATAATAATCTACATGTACATCCAAACATCTAGTTAGTTTAAATATTAATCGAAAGAATTTCTTAATTAAAAAAAAAAAAATTAACAAAATCAACAACAAAAATCAACTTTTTGCCCCTGCCCCCCACCTGGTGAAAATGATTTAAGCCCCTCCTCTTTGTACTCTGAGATTGTTTTGTTTTGATGCCCCTTCCCAACCGAAGGTTCTTTGGCAAAACTGTTTCTGCTGATAGCTAGCTCTTACACATTTTCTTACAGCTTTTCAAATCATGATTAATCTACATGTACATGTACCCACAAAACCCTTTTTTTTTTGCATGAGGGATGGAAGCAGGGGTTAAGAAGAGGGGATGTTGATGAAACACCCCCCAGGTCTTAGTTTGGAAGATGGTGGGTTCTTAGTTTAAAATTATTATTTATTTATTTATTTATTTATTTTTTACTTTTGAATAACCGGGTCTGGAGGAAAGACTACGCTTGATTCTCATGTTATTCCACAGGAAAAGGATTATGGGGTCTTAGTTTTGAAGATTTTTTTAAATTTTTGAAATAACCGGGTCTGGATTTAAGACTGCGCGCTATACCCATGCTTTATTACAGGGTTTTAGTTTTGAACAAATTCGACAAAATATCCCTTCAAATTTATTACATTTGTGGGTAAAGTTATTATTACATTTGTGGGTGATTCAAAATTATTACATTTGTGGGTAAAGTGCTTATTACATTTGTGGGTGAAATTATTACATTTGTGGGTAAAGTGTTATTACATTTGTGGGCGTTATTACATTTGTGGGTGTAACAGGGGGGGAGGGGTCATTTGCATATATCGAAGCAAAAGTGATGCCGTTTGGCAGGCTTACAGTTTCCCATAGTTCCTTCTCCTGTGCAAGGTTAGCAGTAGCAGCTACAAACCAGCAGTTTCCTAGCTGGCCCTGGGACACATCACCGCTCTTGGTGCCGTCTACCACAAGATGAGGATCACTCGTAAGTTCCTGCAGCAGAAAAAAAAAGATGGAAAAAGTCAATTAGCAGAAAAACAATGCAAAGCACAGTTTCATTTGAATGAAGTAGCACTACATTTTGTATGTTTTGGTTGGAGTATATTTCTCAAGAACTGTGCAAGATGGATATGTGGAAAAAACACAGAAAGAGAAAACCATTAGACAATTAATGGTGCTGTATTGTAAAGCAATGTGGAGATTGTCTTCCCTGATGGACACACCAAAAACTTCAACAACAACAAAAGATGGAAAAGTCAAATGGTACAATGGGAGTTTTAAAAAGAGCTGGTTGAGCCTAATGAGGGCCTGATTTTACATATCTTTATACATACATGTACATGTACATGTACAGTATGTGTACCCGTTATTCAAAATGTCCAGGTTATTGGTGATTTTAAGCTATCAGTGTGCCTAGATTGTACTTGTTCATATCATGGACCTACATGTACATGTTTAAACATGTGTGTACACATACTTGTAGGTCTACATGATGTGCATGCATGTAATCCTAAACCAATGCGGGAAAAAAAGAGTCTTAGAATTCCATCCGGTGGTTTTCATGGATTTATCCTCTTTTTGTTTAATAATTACAAGAACACTTTTTCCAAGCTCTATCAGAACTTTCCAGAGCCAAATCACCCCAAGTTCCCAAGTTTCTGTTGTGGTTTCTGTTATGCTGCTGTAGTTAATTGTTGTTGTCGTTCACTCTTACATTTCTTATTAATTATTTACATGTACAATACGAACTCAAGAATGTATACATCCTATAACCCTACACTGTAAGACAAAACTCTGTAAATTGGCTAAATATACAGTACATATCATCGCCTGGGTGGCAGAAGGGCGTTAGCACGAATATCAGGTAAAAAATGAAGCGTTAAGCACAAGGACGTTAGCACTAAATCGCCTCAAACTTTTTTTAAACTGACTTATTTCCGAAAAAAATTGTGGCCGTGTTCTACTATAACATTTTTATTAGTCTTTTAAGTTTTGAAACAATTTTCGGGATGGAAGCAGTTTGAATATATAACAAATCTTTAAATGCAAATAATTCAAAAAGTAGTTTTTGAGTCACTTGCACGCTAACGCCCTTCTGCCAGCCGGGCGATGATATATACTGTACATGTATCAATCAAAATACAGATTTTCAAGAGGCTTCACACAATTTCCAGGTGAGCAAACTTCTTATCAAGGGCGGGAGAACCAATATTGACTCTCTGTATTACTTGTTTGACAATCAAAGGAATTCCATAATCCTATTTCAATAATAAGGTCTTTCCTTTTCAGATCTACATGTATCATCTCATAATTTTTAGAAATATTTTTCAGTCAGAATACGTCATATTGCATGGTCCAATAACCTTTTGGCATAATATGACCTACCCACGTTTGTGCAAATACATACTCCACATGAAATTGATTGTCCCTTATTTTCTTGTACAGATTATCACAATAACCCCTGCTTAAGTTCAGAGTTTCAGACTCAATCAAATCCTTTCAGGGGTGTCTGATCATTTTAAATAGTCAAGTAAATCAAGTTTGTCTGTCTGTCTGTCTGTCTATCTCTCTCTCTCTCTCTTAATTTCCCACCCTATCCTCACCCCACCCCTCTCTGTCTGAAGTTCTCCTTCTCAACCCCCCCCCCCCCCCCTCTCTCTAGCTCTTTCTCTGAGAACCACCTACTACACTGTACATGTTTACCGATTTATACCACTTAGCGTGGGTGTCATGTCACGGATGACTGGATGAGTAACAAACATAATTAGCTTATCATTCATAATGGTTAAACTTTGCTCACTGAAAAATCACTCCTAACTTTGTTTGCATTTTAATTCAAACAATTAATCTTTTAGTAAATGACTATAAAAAATTAATACATTTAAATCAGCCCCTCCCATGGTGTGTGATTGTGCATGTTGCACGCTCACATATTGGATACATATCATTATCATTAACATATTTTTGATATATCTCGATCCTTCCAAGCCTACATTATCAAACTCACTTTGGATTAACTAAAATGTATTATGTTAACAGTGTTTTGAAGTTGAACACATACACTTTGCACACTGTACACGAATGTTCTTTGAACATACGTACCTTTGTACCGAACATGTACACGTGTACTTTGACATAATTTGGTAAATTTTATGAACTTTATACATGTAGCTGAAGATGAAATATTTTCATTGCCCCCTTTAAAATGACTTTTCATTTCATTCAACGATGAAGTAACGAAAATTTCCAAACATTTGTCTGGTCAAGCCCACCCCCCCCCCCAAAAAAAAAAAAACATGACAAAGGACTCATGCCTTAACTCTCAAATGTTCAATTTTTTTAAACTGAAATCTAATGAGTAATATACTGTACAAAGCGAACCAGACATATCTACACGTACAGTAATTGCATACCGGGTGCTAATTACATTGATTGACAAATAAAACAATCTTTTTGTGGAAGGATCCCTAAAAGATGTACATGTATGTTTTGAGGTCAGTTCTGATATGTCTACAGCCAGCTGTCGATACTAGCGACACTAACGCATTAGGTTGTTTGACGAGCAAACCGTATCAGACGACAGGCATGCCAGCGTATTAATAATTAACCAGCCACTTCGGAGATAGTCAATGGGTTTATAAACAATGACAAAATCATTACTATCCTTTAATAGATCAGAGAGGAATGGTGCAATTTGAACTAATTTTGCTTTGCAATTACAAAGAAAAATTTCATGAATAAATGCATGCAGGGCATTGTAAAATGTACATCTGTACAGCTCACTATTAAGATCAATAATATTCACAAATTTTGCAATGTAATTTGGCCTTCAGGCACTTTTTTACCAGTACCTTAATGTTCAAACAAAAGAATAAAAAATATGAACAAAATATATATATATGGAACTGGCAAGGTACATGTACCAGGTGGGATTCTATAAGGTGGAAGAGGTGTAATGGGGGAAGATATGTTTGAGAAGAATAGCAGAGAGGGAGGGAAGAAAGGGAGGGGAGAAAGAGGGGGAGGAAGATGAGAGGGTTTTGACAAAATGTCTTGCCACCTTTTGCCCAAAAGGTGGGTTTTTCAAGGAAAAGAGTTGAGATTGATTTGGATCATTTGCAAGTCCTCCAATCAATCGCAAGTTTGCAGTCTCCTATCTCTATGTAATGTACATTTGTACAAACATTGTAGTTCTGATTGATATCAATCGCAAATAAGTTGTGATTAATAACAACTCTTTATGAGACGGCCGGCCAGGGCCTTGATGTGCATGTACAGCTTTAATAGAGTAGACCTATTTGCATCACATTGCCATTTATCATTAGACTACAACACTTTTGAAAACCTTATCACTTGATCACCTTTAAAATACGCTACAAGTTGGTTTCATATTGATTGATCAGATGTTTGTATATGAATCATTCTGACCACACCTGCAATGTGGTCTGCAAATCAGATTTACTGCACACTTCCCGAACATGATTTGCAGCTGGATGAAAAGTCTGATTCAAAATATGTGGGTCTACGATGTACAATGAATGCATCTACATCTACATTTATGTTGAGCTGATCTGTATTAAGCCTATACACATAATAAATTCTGCATGTGGTATAAATAAATCAATACAACATGTACAAGTACATGTATGTTTAGCCTCCAGATTAGTCAGTGTATCATATACATGTATGACTTTAATAGTACAAGAGTAGTTTTCCCATTTAAATATGCAAAGGCTCAATGTAATACAATGTATTTTTTCACAGAGAGGACCGGACTAAGATTGTAGGGTCTGTATGGACACGCCCGGGCCCCCAGTTAAAATTTAAAAAGTTAAATGAATGTAGGAGGGATATGGAGTGATTGGGGTCCATGGGCATCAGACACCTGTTAGTGTTAAGACCTGTGTACATTATCATTTTCATTATCCTTTTGGTAATTGGTAATTGTCAAACTTTCCAGAATTACATGTACCTGTACATGTACATCAGTTGCTTCAACCAAATTATTAGTAAACACAAGTACAGGGCATGGGCACGGTCGACCAATAAATCAGTTTTTCAAATGACTTCAAACTACAGTTTCTAATGTCAATAAATACTGTCAACAACCAATTTAAACTGTAGGCCCCATACACCTGTATGAATTAGATTTTAATATCATAATTGAAAATAAGCTACAAGTACTATGCAATCTAGTGCACCAAATAAAAGTACCATTGTTCATATATATACATTGTTCATGCAAGGCTATTCAATATATGCATGCCTGAATATTGTATGCTTTGATATTGGAAAGTAAATTCAAGGTTACTATTTTTACACACGTTTGGCCTTAACGCATGTACATGATGTACATACTGCACGATTAGAAGTTAAATGTACACAACATCTGCACTATTCATCACAGTGCTCATTCTCATCGCTTCGCTCAAAGCCTCTCATCATTTTCTCATCTTCATTATCACCACGATGTCTTTACAAGCCGATAACAAAGAGCCAAATTACTGGGTCAGGATACATGTACATGTACTATACGTGTACATGCATCTCTTCCTGTGCTACAACTGTACACTCTGTTTTAAAAAAAATGAAAAATTATAAAAATCAGATAAATAATGTAAAAGCAATCTACAGTGCAATTTTATACAACTGCAGTGCACATTTCCAAATGACTGATAAAATGTGTACACATAATTTGCAGGTACTAATTCTTATCAGTCATTGTAAACAGTGTCTACTTGTACGAGACTACAATAAGGCTCTGTAAATTAGCCGCTCCCAAAATTATTAGTAGGCCTACTTGACACAGCCAGAAACTGACAGGTCTAGGCTCTGCTCAAGGCTCTAGGAATTAAGGTAAAGTTTCAAATTAGAGTGTGCGCTTGCAGGCTCTAATATTAACTGAACTAAGTCTAGGCTTAGCCATCCCCCACTTTCTCTCTTTAATTAGAAACATGGGGGTCATTATTCACAAATTTGTGTAGATTAGAGCAAATTTCCGACAAAATCAGTCGATTTGGGCAGAGGTCTATAGTAAAAATCTGGAAAATTTCTCAAATAATCACCCAATTTATCAATTAATTGCTTGGCACATGCCATGAATTAGTCATAATGATAGTGAAGAGTGAAGCCAATCCTTAGTTTCCCTCTTAAAGCTTAATATGTTACTCAGGTGCGCAATGTCTGACACGTTACCATAGCAACCAAGCTAAATATTATACAGAGAAAAGGAAGTGTTCTTATTTTCTCAAACCCTGTCCTGTCATTGTATGCTAAATATACTGTATGTAACGTATACACAGTACATTTATGCAGGATGACATACATGTATCACGTCCTGTACGGCGCAACTCGTCAAGTCTAGCCATTTGTAAATGAAAAGGGGGAAAGGAAAGCGTATACAAATAACAAAATTCTTCATACTGTAACCCCTTCCCATGCCCCCCCCCCAAAAAAAAAAAAATTGTACTACTGATATTGCTCTATGAGTATGATGAAGTAAATGTAGTTTCCTACTTGCAGAATTCCAGCAGATATTCTCTTTTGAATTCTGCACCACCACCATTTTATACTAGTTTGAAATTGCTGAAGGCCTTCGTCTATTTGTTACCAATTAATTACTGTAAGGTGTGTAAGGGTACTTTCTCTTTCTCAGGTACACAGTAGCTTTACAATGCACATTAAACAAATGCCAAAACCATTGGAAACCGAAACTGGTCTTTTAAGACTTTTAATCTCACCTCAGTTGATAGATCTACAGTGCATCTGCTTTCATGTTCTAGCTGGCTTGATAGGGTAGCTTAGCAAAATACAGTGGCACAAAAAGACGCATCCGGAATGGAAAATACGTAATTGCTCAAAATGATAATTGTTATGACATTATGAAAGAACACAGGACTACAGGACCAATAAATATCTATACTACCTTGATCAGACTTAATATTACAATAAGTAGGATTAAAATATGTCAAATTACAAAATGTTATTCTCTGTTGGGCATTTTTTTGCATTCCGGACGCTTCTTTTCCTGCCACTACATTTTGATAAGCTACCTAAACCAGTTTTCATGTTAAATTTTTCAAATTTTGTTGGCAAGATTATGGGAACACCTGGGTCAGGGTCATCTTATTATCTGCCGTAGTTTACAGGAGGGATTAGACCGCTCTGCAAGGTCACTGGACAGGTGGTTATCTCATCAACTCAGCTCTCAGTTAACATAAGAAAAAGAGGATCATGGGGGACCAATGGTCACCGATTAGGCATGGTTTGTTATATAGAGGGCGCAAGTAGCTACCAGTAGTGCAGTGGGCCTTTAATGCAGTTCTTGGACAGCTCATATCACAATATGCTTCATATTTTATAATGTACATCTTGTTATCTTTACATGCATTAATGGGGAAAAAGGACGCATCACTAACAGTAATTCAAAAAACAGAAGATACAAAATCTGAGCTTACCCCAGGTCGTTTCCATTCGATCTTCCCGGGCGAGGTTCTCTTGTGGAAGAGAGAAGCATCTGCAGCAGGGAACTCCGGGTCCTCGAAGGGCGACCCACTGCTCTGGGCAGCCTTGCGCAACTGGTCATAGTTCTGACCCTTGAAGAATACCACGTTATTCCCAAACAGACCCATGTTCTAGCTATAGTCGATCACCTGTTAAAATAATTACAATCAAATGTCATTAATAATGAGGATATTGATAACAATAATGATGATGATGGTGATTTTGGTGATGGTGAAAACAGAATAATGATAAAGATAACAATAATGATGATATTCATAATGATGATGACGATACTGATGATGATAGTGATGATGACAATAATGATGATAACGAGAATGAAAATCACGAATTACTTCGAACATACGTGTATAATATGTCTGTGCACAAAAGAACTTTCGGTAAAAGGCAAGGCAATAAATAAGATTTGGAAGAAACATACAGCACACATCCGCAAGCTACCAGAAAAACAAACCATTCTTCACCTTCAATCATCACCAATATTTAAAAAAATCTATTTCTGCTGAATGCTGTAAAAAAAAAAAAAAAAAATTATAAATTTAAGAGTTATAAACCACTTGCAGATTGTCAAAATGAAATAAAAATTAATAAGAAGGCAAACTGTGAATGTGTGTATGATGAGAACATATTTAAATAAGTCAACTTAAATACAGTGTACATGCAATTATGTACAGGTGTATTCTATTATTCCCTGTTCTCTATGGTCACATGAGAAGCTTATATGGTTCTTAATATACCCATGTTTATGCATTCGAAGTTGGAGATCTGGGATTGGTCGACTTAATGCCTGTAAATGCACAGTAGCTACAATATGTACATGTAAATAGTATTTGGCTGTATCCAGTGGTTGACATTCACATAAACAAAGGATTACCGGTATCATTGTGAATTATCTTGGATTTATCCACAGATACATAATTAGATCCTTCACTATTAACTTCCTCTATTTCTGAAATCAAAACCCTTATAGCTAACAAGTGAAAAATGCACATGTAAGACCCAGAAAAAGATCATTACCAGTACTTATCAGAATCTCTGAGGCTGTTCACACCGCAATGAGATAGCACGGTCTATCGTAGCACCCCCTTTTTTCTAGCGCGCGCTAGACCGCGCTATCTCTCGTGGACCACCCCCAAGAGGTGCTCCAGTGGCACGCCGTTTTGGCTCGCCGTGGCTCGCTGTTGGGCGGACCGAAACGACGTTGTACCTCCCACACCGCAGAGATAGCGCGGTCTAGCGCGCGCTATCTCTGCCGGTGTGAAGAGGCTGTTCACACCGGCAGAGATAGCGCGCGCTAGACCGCGCTATCTCTGCCGGTGTGGAAGGTACAACGTCGTTTCGGTCCGCCCAACAGCGAGCCACGGCGAGCCAAAACGGCGTGCCACTGGAGCACCTCTTGGGGGTGGTCCACGAGAGATAGCGCGGTCTAGCACACGCTAGAAAAAAGGGGGTGCTACGATAGACCGCGCTATCTCATTGCGGTGTGAACAGCCTCTCTGACTCAACCACTATACATGTACATGTCTACAAGTGTTTGATGCAGCTCCATTCTGAAAAGGACATCACCAAGGAACAGTCAACTTCCTGATTTTGAATCTAAACCCCTCGAAAGTGGAAAAGGCCCAAAAGGGAGCTTAATGTATATATATAGATAAACTTATCCTGGTGTGTTCTCATGAGCCAAAAGTAATCACAAGACATCAAGAATATCGTTAGATTTTTTTCTTAATTTCCCCAAATAACATTTTCATAAATTGTTCGAAGCAACTTGCAAACAAAATTAGGTACACAAAGGCTTAATTATAACTTCTGATAGTCACATACATGTAAATGTATCTGACAGAAAGTCAACATCCCATAAAAACACAGTTTGTTTCAACAGGCATAAACTTTTTTTTCAGTTGGGGAGAGAGGGGCACCAGGGGGTCACTAATTACTGTGGCAGGAGGGGGCACCTGGCAATACTGGAAGTTTGTTTGGCAAAGCCTTCCGTTCTAACCTCCGCAACAAAAATATAAAGTTTTAATAACATTTCACAAGAAACAAGAAAGTGTACAAAAGAAAGAAAAAAACATACAAAGAAACATAAAAAGAAACAATGTAAATGAGCATTTCTCCAATTATTCAAGAAATCATCTGCATGTACATTGGCATTGCAGAGAAATATATAGGTTCCATGAGGAATAACGTTCTCTGATGCTCGTATTAGACCTTGGATAGTGAGACGACGCTTTAGAGTATACACTAGGCCTGTCCTCACTATCTCGAGATTGCCAAATATCCAGCTATTTGAATTATCCCGATCGCAAACTATCCAGCTAATTTACGTCTTCATTAGACCGAAGTAGCAATTAGCTGGATATTTGGTCGGGGTAATATCCCAAGATATCTTGGTCTATAGTTTGCAAAATATCCCACTACTTTGCAAAATATCCCACTACTTTGCAAAATATCCCACTATTTCCCAAATAGCGGGTAACATCCTAAATCCGTACGCTGGTCATACAGTCGGTCGCTGAAGTGCGCATGCGTCAATCTTGATATTATTATTCAAGCTAGTTGGTGATGAGCGTATTGGTCTAATGAAGACGCAAATTAGCTGGATAGTTTTCAATCGGGATAGTTCAAGTAGCTGGATATTTGGCAATCTTGAGATAGTGAGGACAGGCCTAGAGTATACAAGGTTTGAATAATAAATCAGGAACCTTGGTTTGACCTGTGGCTAGGCGAAACCCCCGAGGTTGTCTATTTCCTTTCGAAGATATTTTTATCACAGACACAGTGTCGAGGCAGACTCTTGAGTGATTTTTAATCAATCCACAATTTTTACTGTAATAAGCTTACACGTACAGTACTACATGTACATACTGAATGAATAAAATATTATGCTATGAATATTATATTAGGGGTTTGCTAAATTGGGAACATACTGTATACAGAACAGCTGTATATTGTACTTACAGGGCTCAACATGCTCTAACATGAGGTTCGTCAGGAAATGGGGAAATACAAAATAAATGAACACCTCACATTTTAATGGTCGACCTACATTTTTGCGCAATGAAAAAGTACCCCTCAGAATTGTTTGGGAAATCAGAGTAACTAATAAAACAAAACACTTTAAAAGTAATGTGTGTTTCTTCTAAAATATGTTGTGTGTAGTTTGGATATCCCCTCCCTTTGTAATGGGTTGAAATGCGTGCATGTACATGTACTGGTGTACATTGTATGAACATACATGTACTGTAAGCTTGAACATTAAAGAAGAAGTTTTCATGCATGCATAAGGTCTTTAGAATTGAAACATTGGTAAGGCAATAAGATCAAACTAAAATCAACAGGGTCGCAACTTAAGAGCAATTTCAATACCCTATCGTAAAATGTATGCATGTTTATATTCCATAGAAATCATACATCTTTGTCAAGTTCACACGTTTCAAAAGGTGACTCACAAGGCTATTGAAATTGCATTAAAGGTTGATTTTTCAAAAGTAGCTGCTATCCTGTCGATCCGAGACGTGTTTGGTGATGTACAGTGAACATACATGTACATGTACATGTACACTGTACATTTTAATAGGCCCCTGCACATGTACATGTACGGAACAAAATACCTTAGAATTGCCCTGTTATAAGAAAAGACTGGGAATTTCTGGGTAAAGATTAATTTGATCATTGAGACCTGGGACCCTTTTCACAAAGCCTTTTTTCAATGACAAATGACAAAGATAAGTGACAAATCTGCTGATATAAACCAATCAGAAGCAATGATTTCACTAGCTTATAACAAAAACTGTCTTTTGTCAATGATGACACGTTTTGTGGAATGGGGTCCTGCTCTGCAGATCTCTACACATTATTGAGATTCATAAACTAGAAATGTATGTATGTATTGTACAGTTGTACACGCCCACCCTTCTAAGAATGCAGTACCTTTGAAAGCAAGAGCAATAACAAAACGGAAAGAATGACCATGGAAAGTCAATGAATACTATACATGAAGCCTGGAAAGCGTGGGATTCACCAAAGGCAAAGGATTTAATCACAACAATGCCACTGCTTGCAAGGCGGAGTCTAAATATGTGTATGTTAATGAGGCCTCTAAATGTACATACATGTATGTATACAAGAATTCAAGTTGAATTGACAACAAACAAAAAAAACTATTCTGTAGTACTGTATTGTACAAATACAGTGTTTCATAAATGTAGAAAATATTATCTGTTGAAATCCAGAAGGGCTGTAACTCGATGAATAAGTGCATGGGTTACAGTATGTAAAAGCCTACATGTACACAAGCTTGCAGTAAAAAAATACAAGTACATGTGTGAGAGTTTACAGAACTTGGAGTGATGCTGATATTTACATATGTAGACATGCATACATATTGTCTTTTGAGACTTATCTCAAGAGTCAGATGCATGGATGGACGAATCACTATTAAATCTCGCTAATGTAAAACCAGTATCTGTCATGGCCTGAAACTTTGGTGGACTATTGTTATAATGATGACCTGCTGGTGGCATAAAAACTTTTGTGAACACTTACATTTAGTTCTGGACCAGTCACAACATTTGCAAAAGTTTCCTTACGTACACTAGCTTATCTCTAATTCTCTACTTTTGATACTTTACCATAATTCCTCAAGCCTTGAGTAGAGCCTATCACTGTCAGTCTCAGTCATTTGTGACATGAAATTGTACATATAAAATAATTCATAAAAAAGTGTGTGGCAAAAATAGTCAACTGTGACTGATTGCCAAACAAAATCAAATCAAGAAGAAGAAGAAGAAGAGCAGTATGCCATTAGCCTAGTCTCAAGTTGCAGACAAGTTGTTACACACAAAGAAGGACATTGCTTCGTGCCTGCAAAGTGCAAACTAGTAGTCTGCAGTAGGAGACTAGACACAACCTCCCCATCAATGGTATACCATTGCGGGGGATCCACCTCACAGATTCCATGGTATGTGAGATATCCAAGTAGGTCTCCAGAGCAATAATAGAGCCAACTGTCACTGATACACAACAGCTGAAAGATGGCTGTGTAAACTGTGGTGTAGATTATACTTCTACATAAACAAGTTTATACTCATTGTCATAAGTGGAGGTATAGACAGAGACTATTTCTAAATTATGTGTACCGGTATTTATGAATTTATAAATATAACTATCAGTGATCCTAATTTGTCATTATATAGCAAAAAAATATAACTGGTATCCATTCTGTAAAGTGTATGAATTACATACATGTACATGTACAGTGTATGTCTCCTATATTAATTTTTCTTGGGGATTTTATCTAGAGCTTTCTTTACATATAGCCCACTGTCACTGATACACAAAATATGAAAGAAGGCTATAGATGTAAACTGTGGGGTAGATGATACTCCTACTGTACATAAACTATTTAGAACATTTCTTCTACCAAATTTACATGTACATGTAGTTCTACATGTATACCGGTAAGTGATTTGCGAACAGAATCTGGGTATATGTGTACATTTGTGTACATATTTTCAGTTTCAGTTCCAGTTTCAGTTTATTTTCATATTTCACATGTTGTATAATACATTATTACATTTGGCACATATGTTACATCTTATTTTCATTTTTTTGTATTTATACAAACGAAGAGAATAATACATAAGACTAAGTTGAATAAAGGGAGAAATATGATGGAGCCTAAAGAGAAAGCAATGCTTGTAGGTCATAGGCTCTGGAAGTTATAACATTGATATAGTCTTGTGTATAATAAATAACGAAATTGGACTACATTTGAACTTGTTCTAAGGAATTGGCAACCATTGGCATATGACCAATGTTAAACCCATTCCTTCAGATACTTGTGGTACATAATACATTATCACCACCTGTGCGCAATGGCAATTCTCATTGGAGCGTACCAAAATGTAAGTTCTCATACAGCAATAGAATAATATGTACAGTGTATGTACTGTACATATGGACATTCTGCGCAGTGTATGAACTATGTATGTACATGTATGACTCATTTCTCTATATTTCTTGTTATTATACATTTAAACCAAGTCAACTGTCACTAATACAATTAATACTGCCTCAAGATCATAATCCTTTATCTTCACTCCAGTGTGTGATCTCGAGGCAGCAGATAGCAAGAAACTTTGTGAGAGTCCACAGGGATGAATTAAAGCTTGTTTTCTCAATTTTAAGGTTTGTAGAAGCCTTACATTTGTAGAAGAAAGATAAAAAAAAATGATGGTCTGTCAATAGGACAGGCTATCAAAGTTTTATCCTTTAGGTCTACATTATACATTGTACATGCATATCTAATACTATAGGAAAATTGGCATTGCATATAAACAGCCAATCAAATATTGACATGGAAAAGTATTGAACACATTGCAACCAAATCAAGTTCAATGTTAAAAATACAATCAAATAAAGAGAATTAATCTCATAATGCTACACTCCCTACATGAATGCTTGTTTATAATCTCCAAAACAATGCAGCTAATGTGGTATTACATAGTGAGGTTACTCTCATACAGAAGACAAAGAGTGAAGCTAATCCAACTCTACAAAATGGAGAAGAACAGACCGGATTGACACAAATCAGTTCTTTCATATGGGCGGAAGTGGTAGTAGAACCAGATGGTTTCGCATGAAACTCAAGAAACGTGGGTGCATACAGATTGCAATTAAGAGGACAGAAAGCTTTTACTGTACATCAAGAAGTGAACATACATGTAGATAACTGGAATCTTTGGGAATGCATTACTAGAGGAAGCAGTTTGTGAAACAAGCATCAACATCTTCAAATTTGTTCTTGAGACTTGAGTCGTTGAGAGACACTGAAAACTAAAAAGCGATTTATGTACAAAAGTGATGCGGCGAGACTCAAATTAATTGACTTCTAACAACATTGAATAGTAATTTTATAATAAGTTAAAAATTAAACAAAAAGCTGAAGATTATGATGTGCTTTTTTCCTTCTTCTTCGTCATCTTTTTCTAAGTAAGTTCTAGAATTACTATTTACTAGTAAGCTTCAAAGGGCTAATATCACAAAGATGAACTAAAGATTGCAAGTGGTATAAAGAAGATATAGACTACATGTTAGACTATATAAATTGTAGAAAATATGGAAATCTGTTTAAAAAAATGTAAACCTGGCCGGCCTGGAGGCCTACACTGTACACAGCAGGGAATAATTTTCCTGGTATCGCATCGCAATTTGCTATGCATTTTTGCATGACTGCTATACAAAATATCTTTTGTGTAGCAGTTTTCTTCCATAGAAATGTACAGAATTTCATTTGAAATATTTATCCATCGGCTGAAATTGCTAATCAAAAAATTTGAGGAAAATTATTCCCTGCACAGGTCACAATCTAACTCCGGGAAGCTCCAACACCGGCGCCGCAGGCGTCGGAGCTTCGGGTGGTTTCGTTGGTTTCTCTTTGGGGCTAGTAAAACAGCCGATTGGGTGATATTATCGTTAAATCTGCAAAGGGAGTACTTACAATTTTTACATCATAGGGTGCACGACTCCTCAGGGCTCAACTCCAATCACTTGAATGTATAATTTGAAGAAGTCTTCGATGGGGAAAAAAGGTTAATTTGGGGTACTACACCAACGATTCTTCCATGTCGCAGCGTTGATTCAAAATAGCGATGAGAAGGTACGCATGCGCGGCAGTGGCGAAGAAAATATGAATATTTATGCTATCGAGCGCCGATCGCTCAAAATCGCTGAATATGCACGAGGTTGAGAAGGGCTCTGTTTGTTCGAGTCTCGAAAATTGTAAGTACTCCCTTTGCAGATTTAACGATAATATCACCCAATCGGCTGTTTTACTAGCCCCAAAGAGAAACCAACGAAACCACCCGAAGCTCCGACGCCTGCTGCGCCGGTGTTGGAGCTTCCCGGAGTCAGTCACAATCCAGATTTAACAAATTGTTAACTCACAACAAAGTCAACAGCGTGTAACCTACATCCACATATCATTCAAATGAAGATCTATCATATCAAATGGAATAGGGAAACTTTGACTAGTTAAAATACTGATCATTTTTTATATATTTTAGTTGACATGTCACCACACAAAACAACAAGCGCAATTTTCATCGTGCAGCCCAATTTCTTTACCCAGCTGGTACGACAAATACACGGGGCCACACCCCGGCCGACATGACAGACAGGACAGCGTTCGTTCTTCAAAATCACACACGAAAATAAACGCTCGAGAAAAACTTTACACAGTCAAATAAACCTTAAATTCTCCTTGCTTTCTTCAATATCAACAAAACTGACAGACGAAATTTTAGAGCTACATGATGCTCTATGGCTTAAATTTGTAAAACTGGTTAACATAACGAAAAATGTTCAATATTTACCTACTTTTCTCCCTTGATCCAGACGTTGATCAATACAGACGCTAAACATATGACGATATCGAGCTTTATATCGCCAATTCGATTGTACTTGTGGTATTCTTACGCATTAAACACTTTTTATGTTTCGACATGGTGAAATCTGTGTTCGAATAACTTAGAAAAGACAATAAAACATTGATTGAATAAATGCATATATTCTTAAATCATATTTTAGTTGAAAATGCTGAAAAATGTTGAAATTCATTATCATTAAACAAAATATTGTGTAATGCGTAAAAACTAAAAGCTACATGGGTCTGAATAGTGTAGACCATATGCTAAATGAAGGGGAAGGGCGTGGTATCAAGTTGCATGTCGCACGTGCTGGAAGAAAACATTGTCAACATAGAAATGTTTCTCTTTCTCGATCCGTACAACGTTTTTCATATTTTTCAGTCAGTGTTCAGTAAATTTAAAAAAAGTTACAGCTCCCTGGTCTATCCGATATCCTAAATGAGGCAGTTAACCCCCCCCCCCCCATTATCAAGAACAGGAAGGGGTGGAGAAGAAGAAGAAGAAGAAGAAGAAGAAGAAGAAGAAGAAGAAGAAGAAGAAGAAGAAGAAGAATGAAGAAGAAGAAGAAGAAGAAGAAGAAGAAGAAGAAGAAGAAGAAGAAGAAGAAGAAGAAGAAGAAGAAGAAGAAGAAGAAGAAGAAGAAGAAGAAGAAGAAGAAGAAGATCGAAGAAGAAGAAGAAGAAGAAGAAGAAGAAGAAGAGAGAAAAGCCTGAGGAGGGAGGGGGAGGGAGGGGATGAGAAGGGGGAGGGGATGAGAAGGGGGAGGAGGAAGAATTGTATGGACGGCTGACGTCAACCGGTACATAACATGGGTACACTCTAAAAACTAAAATGTTAAATCACCATTTAAAATCAAGATCCGAGAAGTGACCACTATTCAAAATGGGAAATTAACACTTTGAATATGGTGGATCCAACATTCATATAGGTGATTTAACTTTTAAGTTTTTCTTCAACACTGTGCATGTATGTGTTCAGGCCCAACATATTTTATTTTTTTTTTTGATTTTTTTTGTGGATAAATTATGCCCCACCCCCCAAAAAAATTGTTTGAATAATAATTGTTCAATCATTATAATATTCAGCAAAACATAAGTTTACAAAATCTTTTTTTAAATAATTCAAAGACTTCAAAAATCGTTCTATGAGGCGATTTCAAATTTTCATTAGTCTTTGGCGCCACCAGTTAAAATGTCCGAACACATATCTATAGGAAATACATTTGCGTTGGAGTAAATTTGTTAGCAAGTCTTCGTGATCGTTGATAACCATGTCTTCGCGTGGGGGCAGCAGAGCAGAGTGTCCATGTATTTTAGCAAGGACATCTGTCTCAGATGGGCAGAGTATAAGGGGTTGAAATTCTTTTTCAGAGTGGACTGGGGAGTGGCTTTCCTCCGATAAAATGAAAACCTGAAACCCACTGGATATAGCAACAGGCACGTAGCCAGAGTTTGATGTTTGTTTTTGTTTTGTTTTGTTTTGTTTTTTTGGGGGGGGGGGGGCACATACATGTAATCGATGGAGGTCAAAAAAGGGGTCTAAAAAAGTTCAACCGATCTTGGATTTTTTTTTTTTTTTTTTTTGGGGGGGGGGCACGTGTCCCCCCCCCGTGCCTCCCCCCCCCCCCCCCCCCGTGGATACGTGCCTGTATAGCAAACAAAAATAATCGTCTGGTATGAGGAGTTTTGAATTAATTTGTATTGACTATTCTTTCAAGGCCTATACCAAATGGTTATTCCTGTTTTATCGGGCGACATGAGCTTATGATGAAAAATATTCATAGCTACGAGGTCTACGTGGTGCATATTAATATGATGGAGTTACTAGTAACTCCATGATATTATATAGCATACGGTTTTGGGCCAAAACAAACATTTTGGGTGGATGGGTATGAACTTGGAATTTTAGTTCAGTGCTTTTCACTTTTGAATGGGATTTAAAGAGCAACCTACATTTTATTGAAGCGTCATAATGAAAAACATCAAAGCGTCAAAGTGAAAAGATCGTCTTGTCATATAAGCCTATTGTATTGTTTTGTATCATCCCATTTTCCCCATCTTTTTTTGGAATTTGTTAATTTATGATACAATGATAATTTATGTAAGGTAACCTAAATTATAAGCTATGCTTCTAGCAAGCATCTTCTCAGTAGTCTCAATATTTACTTTTACGGCACAGCACGTACCATATTTATGTTTATTTCTCGTATGTTTATATATTAATCGGAACAGGCGCGTACGCAGGATTTTTTCAAGAGGGGGGGGGGGGGGGGGGGGGGGGGGGGGGGGGGGTAAGAGGACACTTTTTTTTCTTTTTTTTTTTGTCTCGAAATTTGAAAAATTGACGTTTTGCTCCGTTGGGGGGGGGGGATAAGGTAACCTTTTTGCGGTCAGCCATGGGAATATTTGTTTTATTTTTTAATTTTTTTTATAAAGGGCGGGGGGTTTGGTTTTTTTTTAGGGGGGGTTTATACACATAAAAATACCAAAGGGGGGGGGGTTTAACCCCAAAAAACATCCCCCTGCGTACGCGCCTGAATTGGAATGACTTTGTAAAACGAAAAGCTTTGTAAATGTATTTGCTATTATTGAAATGAAATGAAATTGTAAGAGTGTTTGACGAAGAGATGAACTCGTGCCACCGTACTCCCCCCGGACCCCCCCCCCCCCCTCTGCAATCGATCGCCAGACATATCGATTCGATTTCAGGAAGGGAGGAAATAATAAGAGAGATTTCCTTATTTTAATTATGTGAAGGGAGCGAGTGCCCAAATCAATTGCATCCATAATGTGTTTTTGGGGGGTATTTTTTTGTATATGTCATGTTTTTTGATTGATTTCATTCGTCAAGCTTCCACGTGTAATAACAAGAATTAAAGAAGCACAGATCAAAATTAAATCAGCTTGAACAGGATAACTGCATGAAGCTCGAGAATAACGTAAAATGTTTGTCCAAAGCCATAAAGATAACCCCCTTTCCATTTCTCCTCTTTGTGCTGTCCATTATATTATCAAAAATGTTGTTTCACTCGTAATGTATTTCTGCGTGGCAAAATAGGACCGCGTTGTATATTTTGTAGGTCTATTATTATCATTTTCACTTTCATTTACATTTTTCAAAGTTTTTGTGCGCTTTATAAATTGGCATGCCTGTTTTAGTTGGGGGTGGGGTTGAACGAGGGGAATATGATAGTCATGGCTTCTTGAAGACTACTGTAGGGTACTACCACATAATTGAAAAGTATGTGAGGACTTCAGCCTAAGTTTGAGAATTACGGGGGTTAGGTGCAGGGATGGGGGGGGGGGGGGTAGGATTGTGCCCAGCGTCTGACGGCCCGTCTCTTATAATCTTGAACACCATATCCTTCCTCAAGTTCATCTGCTCACATTGTACGAACTAGCAAGAAGCAGTGCCTGCTTTTCTAATTTTGATGGAGTTTTTAATTAATTAACTATTTTGTTCTCTTTTTTCCATTTTTTTTTTGTACCGAAGCCATCAATCCGATTCTTCAAGTTACAAAATATCTATATTGAAATGTCGCCCTCTAAGTTGTAAACATTCCCATTATTGGCCAGCCAGCATCCGGAAAACGGACTTCCTCCTTGACTGAAGTTGGAAAGTTTCTAGTTGGTTTTTCGCCCGTAGGTGAGTATTATAATGTGTTTTTCGAGAGTGTGCGGTATGATGATAATCTAACGGAACTTGTTTATGGTCTAGGTTGTCTGATTTGGACTTTGAAAGGTAAGATCGAAGTGGGTTCCTTTCAGGTCAACGATGCGTGCGGACAACTTTTTTTTTTGGTAACACGGAAGTAGCGAGCCTGCACATTGTGTATGACTGCTAACAAGTACAAGCTACATTTAGCTCGACCTCGGTCTCGGCACAGCTCAGTCAGGCTTAGCCACACTTTACAGAACTTTTTTTTTTACTTGGGGAGGAACTAAACTAACTTGGGTCTAGCATAGACTTATTGGCTGTCAGATCTCACAGCGGAGAAGAAGTGATTGGAACATAGTCAGGTAGGGTGATCGATTCTGTGCCCAGAAGAGAACTTCTCGGAACAGAATTATTCTTTGTTAATTTGTAAATGGGTATCATAATCATGATAATGTAAATGTGTGGGGTAGACTTAATCATGTTAATAAAAAGGGCTACGTGATAATTAGACAGCAATCACCTTCAACCTTCTTAATTAATACATTAACCGTAACCGTTGCCATACGCATGAGGGAATTAACTGGCAGATTTTCGCCGGAATCAGGCGAAAAGTTTGACCTCAGGTTTTATTTTATTTTGTAGAATCTAGACGGTTTTATTTAGAAAAATAGTGATTGGACAGAAAATAGATCTAACTTTAATATTCTATTAAAATAACATGGAAAATTATTGAAAAACAGTCTATGTATAGAGGTGGTCGGTGGAGCCAGACGTGGTCTTAGCGGAGGAACTATCGATATCAGAGACTGTTCTAATTAAGCTTCCACTTCCAGAGTTTCGGTCTAAGCTAAAATGAAATATGATATTGATATCACCTAGCGTTAATTGGCACCTGTATGCCTGCACGAAGAGTGATATAAACAAAACCTAAAATGCATTTGCAATCACCCATTATCGCACCAAACGAACCTCGCAAAGTAGCTTCAGTATACGCTAGGGCTCTTCTTTCTTCTCATACAAAGCAATTTGCGATCAGTTTAGAATTCGACAAAAAAATGTGAAAATTTGTTAAGGGAATGATAGCACGTTGCCCACCTTGCATGTGCTCCAGATAATAACAAATTAACATGCTATTCACATTATGAACACGCTGAAGAGAGTTTGCAATGTTGATTCGGCCCAAAACGCAAACATGTGATATACACAAAAATGCCTGTTTTCGCCTTGCCAACATGCATGTAATTCTTACTGTACGACAATAGCGATGGGTGTAAAAAGGCCCGGACAGGGAGTTCATTTAATTCAGTGAACCCGTGTGACGTGTGACATCCTTTTAAGGCACTGGCAGTGCCTTAAAAGGACATCACAGACTTGCCTTACAGATGAAGTCGAGTTCTGGTTATG